CCCGATGCTGAGTGTTTTGCGCGCAGGCATACGATTACATTGGTGGGCAATCGCACGTGAGGTGGTCGTTGTGCTTCGGTGGTTGCTTGAGGGACTCAGCCCGGAACCTTTGGCTCAATAGTCTGACGCACAAGGCAGTGGGGAGCAGATCCAGCCTCGGGAATGTGATTGCAGAAACAGATTGCGATCTGCTTGATGACCATCCCACGCAGCCTTGGAGGTACTGGAACGATTCATATATGTTTTGCGACCTAAGTAGGGTAAGCAACCTGCGACCACGGCCAGACGCAGGTGAGTTTTGGCGGGTTTGCACCAATTTGACCAGGGGCTGCCTGGCTTGAGGCGGGCAGTAACAAACCATTGAACACCCGGGGATGCCCTCCCACCGTCAGAGACAATGCGTTGCGCTCGTGCTCTACGCCAATCGAGCTGTGGTCTTCTAACCCGTAGATCTGTTGTCTCTCATGGCCAGATTTTACCTGAAGTGGGCCATCGATCATTTCCTAACCTCCGAAGAGGATGGACTAGGATACTGGCAGGGCGCCCACACCTGACAGGCGAGCGACTCTGGTCCTCAGCCAAAGCCTTCGATTAAATGTGCAGTCGAAAGGCAGCGGGTCTAGCACATGGTCAATTCACTGACTCATGCGGATTGGTGTCCTGGATCTTAGCGTGGAGAAGAGGGTAACTCAGCTCCCACCCATCGGTCGCCACGAGGAGGCGTCCAGAACACGAGCCAATAGCGCAACAATAGCAGCAGTGGGTAGATCATCTGTCAGGATCTAGGCACCACCAGCCTCAGCGCACTATAGGCTCTCCCGCCATATATATATATATATATATATATATATATATATATATATATACATAGTCTCATAAACCAATGCCAGATCCGAATGACTATTAATTCTCACTTGCTTCGAATCTCAGCCTTTGATTGGTCTGCCTGAGTCGGTCGAGTGATCACGTCTTCTCCTTGACGGTCTGGTGCCTATTGCTGGCCTAATCTGCAGAGCTTCGTAGGTACCCTCCAGCTCTAGGTGTTTGTTGTTTGAGTTCCGGTCAGAATGCCAGGTCTCGAGGAACTCTCGCGCGCTGTGCTTTCGAATATTTCAACCTTCTCCAGATCGAACTAGTGGTCCTCGGCATCCATGTGTACTGACATTAAGGATTTCTCATCGTGGCGGCGGATGGCCAATGTTCGTGCAGTCTGAAAGATTAACCCGAACTTGATAGCAATCTGGTGGCTGTTTGAGTCTAGTCCTAAGGAATTCTATTTCCATCTTCTAAATTCAACTGCTTCCAGTCATGCCAGGTACGTTCATTTACTAGCGCGCATCTTCGCACTGTACTATTCTATCTCTTACAGACCACCAAGCTCGCATAGACGGGTTTTGGAGCACCCGAAAACCAACTTCTAACCGCTGTGTCAAGTGCTGCTCGCGTAGCTCAGTGGTCTAGTTGTGATTATGGCGATAGCTGCCGAACACTGTGTGCCGAGTTCCATTCCCAGCTCAGGCTATCTCTACCTGGTGTGCCCAAACGTGGACGAATCCTTCGGTCGTGGAGTGCAGGGATGGGAGGAAGCCACAAAGAAACCCTCCGATTTTTGTGTTGTTTACTCATGATTGACCTCCACACGCCCAGCCTAACAGCATTAGGCTAAGTGGGGCTAAGTGTATCTGACCACGTCCACGCCGTTTCTTCATTTGCTTCATGTGTTCGAGTACTGTACGCTTTCTTGAAGCATCATTTATATTGTCCGAAATCATGGAAGCGATTGTACTGCACCACTGGATTCAACCTTATTTCTAGCACCGAAATGATAATGCTTGACTATGCGTCTTAGGACTACTCCGGGACATTAAGGATTGGTAGAGCCACATGGACTGACGACTCCCAACGCTATCGTAGTCCAATGCGTATTATTCCTGCTCAACTGAGTCACGTGTTTAACAACAACTCCACCACTAAACTTCTAGGTTTGGCAGATATATCTCCCTAAAGCCTATTGACTTACGCATCGCACCAAGCATCCCACTGAACGAATCAACTCCTTCTCGTGTTGACGTTGCTTGCCAGTTCAATGGATTCCACTTCATCCTGCATTGCGCGCTTTGACCTAAACTAGTGTTGCTAATTCGTCGCAGTTAGACTCAGACAGACGGCCACCGCATATCCAGGAATGCGCTAAGCGCGCGTTTCGTTCTATTGGGACTCGTCAGTAGCGCGCACCCGCCGAATCCTGCCAGATTCGAACCCACGACCTTATACTTCTGCGAGCCAGCAACTTATGCCACTCTAACTGCGATAAATCTGAACCAACTACCCAATAAATCCCCCTACTACCTGCTGGTGTTGCTAAATTGTAACTAGCTGCCCGGCCTACCAGCCCCTATCCTTTTTAATTGACCAGTAGCCCACTCGCATTTGCTCTTTGATACAGTGCGGCGCGTTGTGGTGGCTCCATCGTTCTAGCGATTTTTTCCGTTATTTTTATATTGTTTAATGAATAATCGAACTAGCCTCTTTGCTGTCATCTCCAAAACCTTGGTCTGGAAAGCTGGACCAGTGAAGCCACACTGGTTCGACAAAGAGTATGGCCAATTGTCTCGACGGCGACGTGTATCGTGGTATAAATTCTTCCTGTCTGCTTCTGTCGATGATTGTGAGGTCTACAAGAGGTAGCGGAATCTGTGCAGCAGCGCGAAAGCGTCGACAGTTCGCAGATGAGCTCGCAACCTCAGCGAAGTCGGTCCTCAAGAAGGTTTTTGCTTATATGAAGCGACGCCTGAGGCCCGCAGGTGACCTAGCAGTGTTAGTGGGCTCGGATGGACAGGCTCTGACTTCCAGTACTGAACGTGCGTCCGCATTGGTGCCGCAATTCGCTTCCGTACTTGTAGATCGTGATGCGCGTATGCCGAACTCGACGTGTGAAGCTCCTGCGGAACCCGAGTGCCTAGATTGCAGTGTGGAACATGTCCGCAGTCTACTCGCTTGTCGATGGCACGAAGCTTGTCGGACCCAACGGCCTCCATCAGCTAATTCTAAGTCCATATCGACCATCATCTGGCCGACTGATCTGTCTGAAGGTGCATTGCCGGGCGACTGGAAATGCTCGGTAGTGAAGCCGATTCCAAAGGGCGGTGATGCCACTACAGTGGACAGTTACCGGCTGACTTATCTGACCACTGTTTTGGCGAGTGTTCGAGAATAT